GGTTGTTGGTTACTTCGCCAACGAGAATAAATATTCTGTTGTACCTGTAAAATGGCTTGTTTTTTGCGGCAATGTGTGCTTTTGTAAATGGCCTAATAAAGGAAGTGTTACTCTAATGATTTTGGAATTGTATGATCCAGAAAATGATTGGCCAACATACTCAATTTCTATTGTATCACAGTATTTTGGTAAGTATACCTATATATCAATTTAATTTATTTTATTTTGTTATTTATTAATCACCTTGTCTCCATGTCTCGCTTATTATTTTACCTATTTTCTTGTCTTTTAATAATTCATTTTAAATCTATTTATTTTTTTTATTTATGTAAGATGATTATGCTAGTGCCGTTTGTAAGGAAAAGGAACTTTTTATTTCGGCGTCAGAGTCTGAAAAAACTCCTCCTAGACAAAAAAAAAATTACAAACGCAAAATTATGATTCATCACAATAACGTTGAGAGTGATGGTATGTTTTCACAGTATATTACAGAGCAATTTAAACTTCAATCCTTTAATGAAATGACTAATGAAATAATTTCATTAGTTGTCTATAGCCAGTCTTGTAAAAGATAGTTTTAAAATTGTATTTAAATACTGATACAAAAACATCCATTCAGAAAGTATTTAAAATAAATTTCAAATAGGTATTTAAAAAAAAAAATATTTATTAACAAATACAAATAATTGACGAATAATTCGTTTGAATTTTGAAAAGTTTTCGCATAAAAGTATTATTTTGATTTTCAAATACAAATATGTCCAAGACAGTATTTACAATACTTTCAAAATACTTAATTCAAAAAGTATTTAAATACATTTACTCAAATACTTTAAAAGACTATCTAATATCTAAAGCTAGATAAAATGTATACATTTAAATTAACCTACATTGACAATATATTATGGTACCTATGTTAAACTACATACTTATACATTTTTTATATTTTATAGAATCTGATTGTCTACAATTAACTCCTGTTAAAATATCCAAAACAGTAAACACCAATATAACTTCTTGTAAGTTTTTATTAAATAATATAATAATTTATAACATTGTTAATAGTTTAATTATAAAATAAATAAATTTGTTTAGGTCCTTTAAATACAGCATCTGAACCATATTATAATACAGTTGTACATGAACCCAGTATTGGAAATAGCACTACTACGCTTATGTCACTTGGTATGTATTCATAATAATAAAGTTATTAATTGTAATTTAATTTGTTATTTATAAATTGTGTTTGGTTTATACTGGATACAGGTATAGTAGTATATAATAATGTTGGTCATTATTTTAACTTGGATTTTAATGTAAATACTGTAACTTAATACATTTATTTAGGCTAATGATACTTTTTTTCAAATAATTTGTAATAAAATATTTTAAACTTTTTTGTTTAGACATACTGATTTTGAAATTGTATTCATTTGGTAAAAGTTTAATTTATTTAGTTGCTAATATTTAAATGATAAATTAATTAATATATTTTTAGATAATTTAAAGATGACTGACAAATCTGAAAATTCAGGGGAAAATGCAATACTGACTCTAGACAACACTATGTCTTATGTGCCATTTAATACATATGAATGTAACACTAATAGTGATGATATATACAAAAAACTACTTGAAATTCAAATGACTACATTAGACTATGTTAAACGAATCGATGCCAAATTGGAGCGAATGGAAATTAAATTGAATAATGGTAGTCCCATTAACAATATACATGATGAGGAATTTCTTTCAATATTTCCTTTCAAAACTATTGAGTCTATTATTACTGCTGATGAAAGATTGAAAACAGAAGAAAAATTTGAACGTCAATTGGTAGGTGACATTTAATTAAATTCATTTTTTGTTTTTCCTCTGTTAATTATCTTATATAGGTACATTATTAATATTAATATTTGTTTTAGAAATATTATATAAATCAAGTAGGAGGAACAAGTCTGAAAAACTTTGTGAAAAGGGCATTCACCAAGATATTTACAAATGAACTAGCTACAAAATTTTCCTTGACAGGGTTTCGTCAAAATCAAGCACTCCAAAATCTAAATATCGTGAATATTATCAAAAGTAATCTATCAAAATTTATATATTTTGAAAAGATTCATCCTTTTAATTTTTTTTTGTTTCATGTGAATTTTAGATACAGCTATTAATACATTTCAAGCTAAAGAATCAGATTTCGAAAACCATGTTAAAGACTGGTTTCGCCATGCTTTACAACGTTTCAAAAGAGAAGAAAAAATAAAAATCTAATTTTCAACTTATTTTACTTTTTGCTTAACCACAAATATTTAACTTTGTTTATTTATTGTATTTGTCATTTTTTTTTTAAATTGTTTCATTAGTTACAAATTAACATTTTGCTATTTATATACACTATTATTATACTATGCATTTAAAAACTATAACTAGTAACTAAAAATAGTTAAATTTGTTTATTTTGTATTTGTAATTTTTTTTTAAAAATTGTTTCATTTGTTACAAATTAACATTTTGCTATTTATATACAATATTATTATACTATGCATTTAAAAACTATAACTAGTAACTAAAAATATTTAAATTTGTTTATTTTGTATTTGTCATTTTTTTTTTAAAAATTGTTTCATTAGTTACAAATTAACATTTTGCTATTTATATACAATATTATTATACTATGCATTTAAAAACTATAACTAGTAACTAAAAATATTTAAATTTGTTTATTTTATATTTGTCGTTTTTATTAATTGTTTCATTAGTTACAAATGTATTTTTTTTATACTATATCATAATTATAATATGCATTTAGAAGTCAAAATAAATAAAATAACAATTTTTCAAAAAGTGTAACAAAATAAAACTATTTCATTATTTTGCTTTAAAGTTTAAACATTACTAGTATTAGCATATCCAAACTTATTATTTTAGTTTATTCTATCTTAACTGTCCAAGCTGTTAGCTTGTTTTCTTAAAACTAAAATAAAACTTATATTTTGTTTTTATTAAACTTCTTCAGATGCGAAAGAGAAAGAATAATGAATCATTATCAAGAAGACATTTTTTGCGTCGTACACAGAACAATACCTCCAACCATATGGCTATGCTTTTTCAAAATGCTAATCAGAAACATGAACAAAATGTATCTTGTATTCTAAATTCTGAAGATGTTTCTGCAGTTGTGGATAATACACCAGTCTCAACAATATCACCATATAATTGTACTGAACCTCAAACATTTTTAACTGTCAATGATCAATGTGATACAAACATGAACTACAATGATAATATTGATAATGAAACTTTAAAAATTAAACTGCAAAAATGGGTTGCTGAATTCCATGTTTCACACAACTGTTTGAATTCTCTTCTAACAATTTTGCGGTCTGAAAATCTGAATCTTCCAAAAGACGCCAGGACATTATTGAAAAACCCCAAAAGCTAATTTCCATACTATTATTAATGTACCTCCAGGAGATTACATTCATATTGGTGTTGAGTATATGTTATGTAAAACTTTATCTGAGCATATTGATTGTTTTGATGACAATATTATAATAGAGTTAGGAATTAATGTTGACGGGGTCCCACTATCAGCCAGCTCTAAGTCAAGCTTTTGGCCTATTCTTATTTCCATTGTAAATATATCTCATTTGTCAAAATATGTTCTTCCAGTTGGGATATATCATGGAAAATTTAAGAAACCTTGTTCAAGTTTTGGTCTTATGAATTCTTTCATTACTGAAATTAAAGAAATTCTATTAAATGGAATATCTGTTAAAAATTTAAAATTACTCAGGTAGTATGTGATGCACCGGCCAAAGCATTTGTGCTCAATGTTAAAGGCCATAATGCGTATCATGGTTGCAATTCTTGTATAGTGGAAGGTAGTTTTGTTAATAATCGTATGGCATATTTAGATATGAATGCCAGTTTAAGATCAGATAAATCTTTTCGTACTAAAGAAGATGAATTTTATCATAAAGACTCTAGTCCATTGGAAGATTTACCAATTGATATGACAAAAACAGTGGTTATAGAATATATGCATAATATATGTTTAGGGGTAACAAAAAGATTGATAACTTTTTGGACAAAGGGGAAAAAACCTGTTAGATTTTTAAAGCCCGAAGAAGTTTCAGAAGAGTTAAATAGCCTAAAACCTTTTATGCCTTCGGAATTTACACGGCTGCCTAGATCTCTAGAAGAAGTTGAATACTGGAAAGCAACAGAATTTAGGGCTTTTGTTCTGTATACTGGGCCAGTTGTTCTTAGAGGTCGATTAAAAAAATCTCTTTATAACCATTTCATGCTCTTACATTGTGCTACCAGACTTCTAATATGTCCTGAAACATGTCATACTCATAATTTTCTAGCTAAAACTTTATTAAATAAATTTGTTCATGACTTTTCTTATTTATACGGTGAAGAATATGTGGGTTATAATGTTCACAATTTAATTCATGTACCTGACTTTGTTTTGATCCATGGTGCCTTAGATGCATTTAGTGCATTTAAATATGAAAATTATTTACAATTTATTAAAAAAAGTTGTAAAAATTCTAGGTATCCCCTCCAAGATACTTACAACCGTATAATAGAACAAGTAAATATTCAAACAAAATGCAATCCTTTAAAATACCCAATTCTGAAAAATGAAATTAATTTTGGTGACTCTATTAATGAAAATGAATATGAAAAAGTAATTCTTAAAAATTTTGTAGTAAGTTCAAAAAGTATTCGGGACAAATATTTTATTTTAAAAAATAATGACATAGTTGAAGTCAACAAAATTGTTAAACTTTTAACTGGGCAAATACATCTTATTGTGACTCCATTAAATTATTGCATCATGTATCAAGATCCCATTTCATCTTGTTTAATTAAATCATTTTATATTGACAATAATAATGATAATTGTTCTAAATCAATTGGCTTAGACTGTTTAAAAAGTAAATGTTTATATATACCAACTGGCAGCAAATCTATTGCTATTGCTTTACTTCATGAAGTATAATTTGTTTTATTAATGCTAATAATTAATCATGTTTGTACCTATAATATTTAAGATAATTGATAGTTAAGATAAACTATTAATAAAGAATTCAATTTTGTATAAAATTGAAACGAATACCAATTTGTTTTATTTTGTTTGTGTTTAAACCCTACCTACATAATTTAATTTAAAATAAAGTATAATTTTATATAACTACATAACAAACTAACAAATAAAGTTGTTTGGTTAGGTAATAATTGTTAATAATTATTACATAGGTAGTGGGTAAGTTTTAAAGGTTGTATACCTACTTTATAGAATGATGTATTAACTATTATAATAACTATATGTCTAAAAATCCATAATATTGATTAAGAGGATGTTCCATCCACGTCTGTAGTCTTCGTCTTATTAACAAATAGGTAACATTATAAATATTATGTTCTGAAGAATGTTGTTTAATATTATACTATTATAGTGAAATTGCCTCCATATTAGTATAGCACTATGTTAGCATTTTATTGTTATTTTAATTTTGTAGCAAGTTATGAGAATTTTAAAATAGTTATTTGATTTTATGCAACATAATATGATAGTGAAACATTTCCTTAAGATAAATTAAATTAAATATTACAAATTTTATATTTATAAAAGGCGACAATAAAAAAAAGTTGTTATTGCGATTATTGTAATGCATTCATTACAGCATACCTACCATAGACCCCAGCAGAAATTTTTTTTTTGGAGTTAGCTAGTATTTGAAAATAAATATTATTATTTTAATATTTTAAAACAACAATCTTTTTTATTAGATTTATAGTTTTCGAAAAGCCAGGGGTGGCAAATGACCCAGGGTCGCCTATGCAGTGTATTACGTATCAAACGACTGACTGTTATAAAAGTCTAAATACACTATATTATTACGCCAAGAGTATCTCGTTAGTGTGTCCCGGTAGGTTAGGCGTAGGTCATTTAGGTTAGGGGTAGAGGGTTCGAATCCGTCTGGGCTCTCTCCAGTGGGAAATATTTTTTTCATTTTTTCCGGACACTTTGTGAAGTCTATGCGAAGTCATTGGGCTGGAATTGGAAAATCTCATGTCTCTCAATCTGATTGCATATGGAAGTTACATTGTGATGAAACATGGAACATTGTTTTGCGACATCGCATTCAGTAACTTCACAGGTAGGGATATTAACGGTGCCTACGACATCTCCGCGATAACCATAGGCAATAATATTAAACTTCACATGACTCAAAATAACTGCTATACAACATCTCTGAGAATGTTTTTTGCACACAGGGTTATTTAAAAAAAATACCAATCAATTTTATTTGCATGAACTTTTAGTAAGGTACCTACCTATTTTAATTAAGAATCTTATGTTTTAGTAAAAATAAAACATTTAAGTAAGATAGGTATTGTCGTATATTGTATAACACAAAAAAAAAAACGAAAACTAGGCAAAACACCTTGGCGCTCTTATATTATACAAACCACAAATAAGAATATAAAATACAATAGTATAATAAATATTAAAAAATAGAAATTACAAATAAAAATACGATTAATGTTTCTAGATGCTGATATTATTGCTATTGTTATCAACGACAAAAACTGAAGGCACGACAGGAACGGGAGAAGACACAAAAATTACGGTATCACCTGGGGCATTTTTCAATGAAATTAAAGAAACTATAATGTACGACAAAAGTATACCACTCATATACACACAAGACACGGTAAATGATAATATAAAAAATTTCGGAGACACTTGGGAAATAGAAAAATACTGCAAAAATAAAAATAAACGTGATAACTATTGTAGTATCGTACTACAATCAATAACGCTACTAAAAAATATAAACAGAAACATAAATGATAACGACATCGATACAATGGAATTCCTAAAGAGCGCTAACGCCTTCAATACTAAAGATAGGCCAAAAAGAGGAATACAATTCATAGGAGATTTCTACAACTTCTGTTGCAATGTAGCAACGGATAAACAAATTAAAAATTTTTATAATAATGAAGAAAAATTAGCTGAACAGGCAGAAAAACTTAAAGATATCTTTGTTTCTGACCACAAGGACCTTTCACAGATAACCTCGCAGTTAAATAATTACACAATGACCACAGGAAATAGAATAGAATTATTAAAAAACAATTTTAAAAACTTTGTCAAAGAAGAAAAAGACAACATGATGTTAGAAAAAATTAACTATAATAATCTAATACAAGGCACGCAAGAAATAATGTTCAATATTGCTACCAGCTTGGAAAGATTTATTAATTATGAAAGAGACTCCAGTACACAGCTACACTGCAAATTAGGCAAAATACCTCCACGAGTGATCAATACCGAAGTATTATTTTACGACCTGAACAAACTTTCAAAACTACTAATGGAAGACGGATACGAATTAGTAATCAAATTAGAAAATATTTTTTCATATTATAATCTACCAATTGTTGAATGCCAATTTTCAAAATCAAAAATCTTAATTAAATTAAAAATACCAATTAAAGAAAAATCGACAAATTGGAAACTATTTCAATACATCCCGGCACATTTTAAATTTCAATATTCTATATGCCTAATATTTTCTGAAAAAACGTATGTAGCAGTGAATACCGAAAACGACGATCACAGAATAGTTTCAGGTATGGGACTACAGCACTGCGACCCTCCAATAACGGACTTATGCTACATCCCTAAATTCACTTCGGATATCACGCTAACACCAAAATGCGTGGAAGCATTATTCAGAAATCTCCCACTAAGCCAAATAAACAAGTTCTGTTACTTTCAATTTGTAAAACAACAAGAAAATGAAGAAGTAATAATTAAACAAATAGGAGTAAATACTTTTGCAATCACTAACCCCCAGCCTACGCTAATGATAAGAAAATCAAAAAAAAATGTATACACCGAAACACAAAAACTAAAAATAAACTACACACACCCAGGTCTAATAAAGATTTCCTTACCATGTAATTATGAGCTTTTAAGAAACGGGAAAGTACTAATTCCCAAAATGTTTCCATGCGAACTAAGCAATCTAAACAAATTCACTATACAAAGAATATTACCCACATCATGGACAAACATAAAATCTTTAAACATTGGTCACGAGGCACAGAAAGATCAAAATATATACTTCTCAAATCTAAGCGAAATACTAAATGAAGACTGGACCAAAGAAATTCCGAACTATCACATAACCAGACAGTTAAAAGATCCCGAAGAATATTTTAAAAAAGTCATCCTAGAAAAAATGCCACAACCTCTGATAAATTACTTCCTTGGCGATATTATATACTTAGGATGGTTAACAATACTGACCATAGCCATAGGATTTTTAGCATACAAATTATTCCCCGTCCTAATAAAAATAGACTTACTAAATCCCCCACCGATACCGGCTAGACAATAAAAAAAAAAAAAAACTGTTAATATAGGAAAGGATAATATTAATTTTAATTATTAAAACAAAAAAAAAACGCTCAAGTTATTTCAGATCGCACAAACACAACAATATTAGCTCTAGATAAATATTTACAGATGAACGACATCGAAAAACTCGCACAGAAAAAAAAAAAAAATAAACTACAAAGAGCAATAAGAAAAGCGAAAGGAAACATTAAAAAGGTTGAAAACGGTGCAAGTCCCGAGAACAGACACCAACAACGTAGACAGAATATGAAGGACACCAAAAAAATTGATAAGAAAATCCGGGAGGGTTTTGAAAATCTCATAAATTTTATCAAGTCCCTTGAATAATTTTCTTTTCTCTAAATATGACCCTGAACAAAAACAAATTTAATGTAAACACAAATTCAATGTTCAAATATTATAATATTTAACACCTTTTTAGGAAAATACTAAGTATATAATTTAATACAAAAAAAAAAAAGAACAATTAATCAAATTATAGTAAAACAAGAAATTATGTAACATTATGAAGTTCGTATATTCATATGTATTTATTTTTATTTTTATTTGAGTAATAAAAATAATAAGTAAATTAAGTATATGTCACATATAGGTTAAATTAATTCTATAAAAAAAAAAAGTGTGAAAATATATATAAATAAAAAACAAAAAAATAGAATGTATTTTCAGCATAAACAAAATTCACGAGTCAACAGACAACAAGCCGTAACAATCTTCTGAGACAAAGTGCGAATATAATATTTTCAAAGTAGACAATAAGCATTACACCAATAATTATAAAAACAATAAGCAAATACCTTTTCATACGAAGACACGAGGAAGAGACTGCAGTCAAAACAGAAGTTTGGAAAAATAAAATATGAGAATATATATAAATGAAGAAAAAAAAAATAAATATATATACAGATTATAAGAAGAAAAACAAAAACAAGAAGATAATAAACACTTACCTTACTAATACAAAGGAGAAGAAGAATTAACTACCACAAAAAAAAAAAAAAAAAAAATCCCGTAGAAGAACAACAATCATTTACTGCTATTTGTCGAAATAAAAATATTATACTTCAAACTGAGAAAAATCTCTAAGAAAACTTTTTCTACAAACAGCCAATCAATAAATTATTATAACCTTATATGTATTCACATAAATTTTTGTATCTGTATTCTGAGCAAAAATGTCATACATTATAATACAGTACAAAATATAACTCAATTTATATTTATATTATAAAAAAAATTATTAATCATTAATATGTATTTATGAATTATATGCTTCTAATTGTATCTAGATCCTCACATAATATTGCCACAGGTAGAGATTTTTTTTTGTATTAATATACCGAGTTAATTTTATACAGTATGAAATAATTGCGGCGGTTGAAATATCGATTTGTCTGTTTTAAATTTAATTTGTTGTAATTTGTGTTAATTATTTTGCATGTTTAATTCGTGAATTGTGGCTATTGTCATTCTTTTTGGAATATTACTATATACGTTGGAATAATTGTATAAGATTACTTCGTTAGAATAGTCTACTATCTGGGTTTCTAGCATTAAATATTTTTCGCTGCCTAGGCAGTCTGTAGGATTTATTTTATACTGTGTTAGTATATCATTGCTTGTTTAAAAAAAAAAAAAAAAAACAACGCATTAAAAAATAAATTAGAAAATTAACATTTAAGCATAATTTTATAGTCAACGACGCGAATAAGCCGAGACAGAAATATAGTGTAAAAGTAGATTAGTATTTAATGTAGTAATAAGACAATTGTATGTAAAAAAATTATTAAAAAATGAGGGCATTTTTTTCAAAAAACAAAGGGGACTGTCGTATATTGTAGACAGTCGTCTAAATATTATTTCATATATGTAATAGAAGTGGGAACTTTTTATTGTAAACCATTGACATAGGTCAGTGAAGCATATGTGCTGAGACAGCTATAAGATTACTATATAACACCGCCGCACGCGCAGACACGAGGGAGAGTCCCGTTGTCGCTGAGTGAATCGGCGAGGACGTAGGTACTGTGGTCGTACGTGTGAAACGTCGATCGTAGTACGGGCTAGGCGATCTGAATTCGCCAAGTATATTTTATTTTGTGTTTGTTATTTAAATATAATAAAAGTGTTTCCGACTTGAAAACCCGAGTTACAATTATTTAAGTCATTCTTAAGAGGACGTAGTACCGGCGTTTTCAATACCAAAAACATGCTCACTTAGATTCCAAATTTTGCACTCCAGAGTGGTTTTAGGACATAAACACCTATTAACAAAATTAAAGATAATAATATTTTCGAGGGCCCCACGTAGCCTTTTTTCAAAAAATTAATTTTTTGAAAAGTTACTGTCATTTTAACATGTTGAAAAAATCATTATTTTTAAACGATGTACTGAGCTTAATATTTGGAACAAAGAAAAAAACCTACGTGGGGCCCTCGAAAATATTATTATCTTTAATTTTGTTCATAGGTGTTTTTACGATTAAGCCACTCAGTAACCCATATTATTGGAACGCGCAAAGTATGTTTTATAAGAAAACTGCAGAAAATTACGCTCGGCAAGTGCTGCGCCCGTAGTCAGTGGCAGCGTTCGATACTAGCTGTGCATACCACCACCCCGCGCGCATTAACGGCGGTACCGCGCACTGGTCAAAACAGGTTCTCTATCGCAGCCGACCGCCCGTGCATAGTTTATAAATAACCAGATAAGAAAATGATTATTATATTTGTGACAAATATTATTTAATTTGGTTCGATTTTATATTTTATATTCGTATCCGAATTTTATACAAATAAAAACTATAATTTTGTTCTTCAAGTAGGTAATAGTGTAATACGGCTTATTGAAGCGGTTTGCAATAAAAATACCTATTATAAAAATTGTAGAGGAGAATTTTTTTAACAATCGTAAGGAATCCGATTTTTGATATCGTATTCCAATCGTCCAATATCGCATGATAAATTAACAATTTTTTTTACTTTTTACTTTTTATCGATTAATTATTTAACTCATTAATAAAAATATAAAAAATCGGGCTTATTTCGATTATTAAAAAAATTCTTCTCTCCAACTTTTATAATAGGTATTTTTACTGTTAACTGCTTCAATAAGCCGTATTACTTGAATTACGAAACCATATTTTGTTCACTAGGCCAAACTCTTCTTATCCGAATTTTATACAAATAAAAACTACTTTTGTTCTTCAATTAATACGGCTTATTGAAGAGGTTTACAGTAAAAATACCTATTATAAAAGTGGTAGAGGAGAATTTTTTTAACAATCGTAATAAATCCGATTTTTGATATCGTATTCCAATCGTCCAATATCGCATGGTAAATTAACATTTTTTTTTTTACTTTTTATCGATTAATTATTTAACTTATTAATAAAAATATAAAAAATCGAGCTTATTTCAATTGTTGAAAAAATTCTTCTCTAAAACTTTTATAATAGGTAGTTTTGCTGTAAACTATTTAAATAGGCCGTATTACTTGAATTATCGAACAATTTGGGTATGATAAAAAAAAGAAATAGGTAGGTACTCAAAAAACCATTTATAACAATTAACAGAAATCATTCAATGTAGACAATCTAAGCCACAACCAGGTAAAGTGGTACATATTATAAATTGAATATAATTTGCGAAAGGATATTTTAAATAGTCCATACCATATATTTGGCAAACACTCTAATTGTGCCCGATATTTTTGCACTGGAAGAAAGTTATACGAACTGAATTTGATCGACGAAGTAATGCAAAGTGGTTTGATGAAAGAAATTACAACTGCACTTAGACGTGTTGCTGATAATGCAAAAAGTTTATTACTTGAAGTTTTAATTTAAGTTTCAAACTGTTGAAAAATTAATTATTTAAGTGTTAATTAAGTAAAATAAATTTTATTATGATATGAATGACGAACATCTTATAGCTTTGGGAAAGAAAATTACAAAATTAACCGATATTTATATACAAAAGAAACCAGATCTTATTGAATTATGCAAATCTAAACAATTAAAAAGTGTAGGAACCGTAGATAACCTAAGGGCTAGATTATCTAGATACTATAAGGGGATCGTAGAATTAGGCGACATCGAAGAAACTTTAAGTGATCTACAAAAACTCAAAGTTCAAAAGGATTCAATAGAAGATAGAATTGATATTACAGAATTACTCACACAGAGCAATTTAAGTGATTCAAGCCCAGAAACGAGTAATAGCGCTATAAATAGACCAAAAACAATTAATAACGACCTTTTAAATAATTTATCCAAAGATTTAGAAGAAAACGCAAACAAATTAATAATCCAAGCAGAAAAAATTGAAAACCTTAGTAGTAATTTATATCAAAACGATTCAGTACAAGCCCCTAATAATAGTTATAATAATTTAATAAACTTAGATCCTAACGAATCTACAAAAGTAGAACACATATACGAAGATATCATAAGTCCAATAAAAACTGATTCAGATTTAAATACCACTTTCTTTAGCAACTCAAAATTCGTAATAGACAATACACCTGAAAAATTAAATATATTGGAAAATAAAAATCCAAAACACAAAATGGAAAAAATGATAGTAAAACCAGATAGTTTTTCCGGACAAGGTGACATAAAAACTTTCATCAGACAATACGAAAAGGCAGCACAGATCAACAATTGGAACGACGACGAAAAAATTAAGTTCCTATCAATATTTTTGAAAGAAACTGCTAACAAATTTCTACAAAATTTGGAAAACAAAAGAGAAAACTGGTCATGGGAAAATCTAAAAAGCGAGTTCATAAACGAATTTCAACCCATAGGATACTCAATAATATTAAAAAACAAATTAGAAAATAGGAAACAGAACGACTTAGAGTCAATTTCTAGTTTTGTTACGGAAATAGAATACCTGTGTAGCCAAGTACAAAAAGATATGAAAGAGGAAGATATTTGCGTGTACATACTAAAAGGTATTAGGGAACCTATATTACAT